CGCAGCTCGCGGCCCCGGAGCGGCCCCGGTGTGGCGGCGGCGGCGGCGGCCCGGGCCCGCCATGGCCAAGCAGTACGACGTGCTGTTCCGGTTGCTGCTGCTCGGGGACTCGGGCGTGGGCAAGACCTGCCTGCTCTGCCGGTTCACCGACAACCAGTTCCACCCCGCCCACATCTCCACCATCGGTACCGGCAGCGCACGGCGGCCGCGGCGGCGGGAGCGGGGAAACGGGGAAGCGGGAGCATCGGGGAAGCGGGAGCAGTGGGGAGGCGCAGCACCGGGGAAACGGGAAGCCAGAGAACCGGGAATGCCGGGGAAACGGGGAGCCGCGGCACCGGGGAAACGTGAAACCGGGAGCATCAAGGAATCGGGAGCAATGGGGAGGCGCAGCACCGGGTAACCGGGAGCACTGGGAGCCGCATTACCGGGGAAAAGGGGAACCGGGGAACTGGGGAGCCGTGGGCACCAGGAAACCGTGAGTACTGGGAAGCCGCGGCACCGGGGAAACGGGAAAATGGGCAACCGGGGAGCGGGAAAACCGTAAGAACTGGAGAACCGGGAGACGCAGAAACCGAGAAACGGGAACACAGGGGACGGGAAAACCGTGGGCATCGGGGAACCGGGAAGCCACAGGATCGGGGAAACGGGAAACCAGGGCACCCGGGAGTCGTGGGAACCGTGGAGTGGTGGGCACGGGAAAACCGGGGGCACCGGGAAAGGGTTAAGCGTGGGCACTGGAGAGCTGCAACACTAGGAACATGGGGAAACAGGTAACCAGAGAGCGGGAAAACCGGGCACCGGGGAGAGGGAAAACAGTGGGCACCGGGGAGCCAGGAGCATCGGGAGTCACAGCACCGGGGAAGCGGGAAGCCATGAGCATCGGGAAACGGTAAAACTGGGCATCCACAAGCCGGGACCACCGGGAAGGCGCAGCATAGGGAAGCTGGGAAACCGGGAGCATCAAGCAGCCAGGAAATCCTGGATATGGGAGAACGGGGAGGACCAGGCACCTCTGGCACAGGGGAACCGGGAGCAGCATGCAGCTGGGAACGGAGAGCATTGGGCAGCCACAGCACCGAGAAGCCGTAGCACTGGGGAACTGGGAGAACTGGACAGCCGCAGCACCAGGGAACTGGGAGCACCAGGATCAGAGCTGGCACGGGGCCTCCTGCAAGGCCAGGCACTGGGCGTGGGGAGCAGCACCAGGCCATGGTGGGGCGTGGGGTGGGCCAGGAGGGGTGAGGGGACCAGAGGACCCCAGTGACAGCAGCTCCTGCAAAGGGAAACACCAGGACACCCCACCCCATTCCAATCCCAGGTGTGGACTTCAAGATGAAGACCATCGAGGTGGATGGGATCAAGGTGCGGATACAGATCTGGTGAGTGGCAGCACCGGATCCCGGGGGGAAGAGGGAAGAAATTTTGGGGGGTCTGAATCCTGCTCCCCCCACCCAAGGCAAGGGCTGAGCCCTGCCAAACTCATGCCATGGGTGGTGGCATGACCCGCTGTCCCTGGGCAGGGACACAGCTGGCCAGGAGCGGTACCAGACCATCACCAAGCAGTACTACCGGCGGGCACAGGTATGGCGGCTCCCTGCCCTGGTACACAGGAGAGGGGAAACTGAGGCACAGTTTTGGGGTGTCAGCAGCCGCCCCCCACCCCTGCAGGGCATTTTCCTGGTGTACGACATCAGCAGCGAGCGCTCCTACCAGCACATCGTGAAGTGGGCCAGCGACGTGGATGAGGTGGGGGCTCACGAGGGGAGCTCTGGGGGTTCCCCAGCCGTGTTGGGGGGTCCTTACACTGTTCCCCCGCCCAGTACGCACCCGATGGCGTCCAGAAAATCCTCATCGGGAACAAGGCAGACAAGGAGCACAAGAGGCAAGTGCCCAAAGAGCAAGGGCTGCAGGTGAGCGGGGGCTGCTGTGTGCCCCCCCCCCGGGGGCAGGACCCCTCCTGCACCCCCAGCATGGCCAGCCTCTCCCTGAGCCCCCCCTGCACTCAGGACCCTGACAGCCCTCCTGCAGCCCTACCTCTATCCGGGACCCCCAAGCCTCCCCTGTCCCTCCAAACATGACAGGGACCCTCCACCCTCTTGCAGTCTGTACCCACCCCAAAATCACCTCCCCCAGTATCTGGGAACCCTCTTCCCCTCCATCCCTGCAGTGGTTGTGCACCCCAAGGCTCCCTCTTCCCCAGCTGCAAGATGTTCAGAGACCCCCTAACCTCTCCCTGCACCTCCAGCACGGTCTCCTGTACCCCTGAAGCACGCAGTGACCTCCTTGGTGTCCCCCTTGGGACCTCTTGACCCCCAAAGCACCCAGTGCACCTCCCTACAATCCCAGCACGGCCAGACCCTCCACAAGGCCCCCCTGCATTCCATATGGACTCCGATAGCCTTCCTGCAGCCCTATCCATATCCAAGGACCCCAACCATCCCTACCTGTATCCAGTGACTCCCATGCTCCTGCAGTCTGAACCCAGGGACCACTGACCTCCCCCTTCAGCATCCAGGAAAACCCTTTACTGCCCAGTGCTACCCCAGGGCATCCAACAACCCCCAGCCCTTCCCAGTATCCCTCCCAGTGACCTCTGGACCCCAAAGCATCCAGCACCCCTCCCAGGGCGCCCTGCACCCACCACCCAACCCCAGGTGTGCCCCTATGCCAGCCCCCTCCACACTCTCCTGTCTGTCCGTGCCCGGCTGTTCATGTTCCAGAGAGGGGGCAGGGGTATTGAATCCCCCCTCCCCCCAAATCACGCTACCCCCCCTCCCTGCCAAACCCTGGTGCTGCAGCTGGCCAGGGAATACGGGATGGATTTCTACGAGACCAGTGCCTGCAGCAACCTCAACATCAAGGAGGTATGAGAAAACTGGGGTGGGTGGGTGGTGGGGTTCTCAGGGGGTTGGGGCTGGCCTGGGGGGCCTGGAGAGGTCAGGGGGTACTGGAGGGGTCCCCCAGGTTCACCCCACCCCTCTCCCACAGTCCTTCACACGGCTGACGGAGCTGGTGCTGCAGGCGCACCGCAAGGAGCTGGACGAGCTGCGGGGGCTGCCCCGCGCCCCCACCCTGGTCCGGCTGGAGGAGGACGAGCAGCAGCCCCTGGGGAGCGAGGACACCCCCAAAACCTGCTGGTGTTGAAGGCTGGGACCCCCTGACCCCTCCTCCCCAGGCTGTGTCAGGGGCCGTGGTAGGGGCAGGACTGAGGCAGCCCCCATAGAGTGGGGGGGCAACATGGGACACCCCCAGGGACAGGGAACGTGGCAAGGCGGGCCCCCCATCCTGGACCTGTGCCCTCCTCGGCTTGCGGGTGGGGTGGGGGCTGTCCAGGCACTGTGTGCCCACCCTGTGCCTGCCCGTGGGACCCCCGGTTTTACACAGTGGTTTGCAGAATAAAGGTGATGCTGGAGGGGCTGGTGGTCCGTGTGCTCCAGGGGGGCTGTGGGCATGATGCCATGGCGGCCGGCACAGCCTGGGCACGGACACCCGAGCGGTGATCAATAATTGAGGGTGATCTGGGGCTGCCAGCATGGTGTCCCCTTTCCAGGCTGGGCACAGGGACATGGGGCATGGTGCTCATGGAGTGCCATGGCCACCACCACAGCCTGCCAGGCTACCAGCTCAGCCCCAGCTGTGGGAACAGGGCAGGAAAACTTGCTGGTGGCACTGGGATGAGCCAGCAGTGGGATGGGGCGGGCTGGGATGGGTGGTTACTGGGATGATGGTGGGCACTAAGATAGTGGAACCTGCAGGGATCTAGGTGGACACCAGGATGCTGCCAGGCACTGGGATGGGCACCACATGACAGCGGTGGGCACCACAGCAGATAGGCCCAAGGGTGGAGCTGGTACTGGGACCAGTGGGTCTCAGGACTGGTGGGGACTGGGATGGGCAGCACAGGAGGACCCAGAGGTGATGCCATGGCAGCACCAGGCAAGGAAGAGTAGTGGTACACTTCTTCCCTCCTCCTCTGCCCCACAGAGCCCCAGCTCCTAGATTCCTGTTATTCCCTGACTCCCGCTATTCCCCAACTCTCACCGTCATTCCCAACCCTGGGGAACATGCCGTGCCAGGCTGGGAGCATCCCACATCCCGCAGGCCCTAGGATGAGCAGCCGCAGCGCGCCGTGCCATGAATTATTGAGGCAGGTAGAGCATCGCCTTGGCCCCGTGCCACCTTCCTCCTTCCACGGGTGGGACGGGCGGCTCAGGTTTCTCCTGAGCCGCGGCGGGGCCTGGAGACCTTTGGACCATGACGTGAGCACCGGGAAGCCCTTAAGAGGCGGCGCAGGGCGCGCGGCACAAGCAGCCGCGCACCTGCAGCCATGACCGTCCCCATCGCCAAGTCCTTCTATGACCTGAGCGCCACCTCCTTGCAGGGGGAAAAGGTGGATTTTGGCGTTTTCCGGGGCCGCGTGGTCCTGATCGAGAACGTGGCTTCGCTCTGAGGCACCACGGTGCGGGATTACACCCAGCTCAACCAGCTCCAAGCCCGCTACCCCCGGCGGCTGGTCGTGCTGGGCTTCCCCTGTAACCAGTTTGGATACCAGGTAAGTCCTACGGGCCACGAGGTAGCGGGTGAGGAGCTGGGAAACACGGGGCTCTGGATTTCTCCTTCCCTGCCACAGGAGAACGGCACCAATGAGGAGATCCTCAACACCCTGAAGCACGTGCGGCCTGGGGGTGGCTTCGAGCCCAACTTCACCCTGTTCCAGAAGTGCCAGGTGAACGGGAGCGACACCCATCCCGTGTTCGCCTACCTCAAGGCTCACCTGCCCGCACCGGCCGACGAGCCTGCACACCTGATGGCCGAGCCCCGCTTTGTCGTCTGGAGCCCCGTGCGGCGCTCCGACATCTCCTGGAATTTTGAGAAGTTCCTGGTGGGGCCTGAGGGGGAACCGTTCCGGCGCTACAGCCCACGCATGCCCACAGCCCAGCTGGAGCCCGACATCCAGCGTCTCCTCAAGCTGGCCAAGTAATCCTAGCTCTGGTGTGATCCTAGCTCTGGTGTGATCCTAGCTCTGGTGTGATCCTGGCTCCGGTGTGATCCTGGCTCCGGCGTCACCCCGGGATGGCCCCAGCTCTCCGCAGAGTGACAGCCCCCTCTGAAACCTCCACGGGGAGGGGGCTTGATGGGGGCAGAGGGTTGGAGCCGCCGGGGCGGCGTGGGCTGGTGGCAATAAATGAGCCGCAGGGAGAGTGCCTGGATCCACGTGGTTTTTGGGAGTGTAAACAGATCCATGAGGTTTTCGGGAACATACCCATGTGTTTTTTGGGGGCTCTTGGCGGGAACAGGAAGGAGGACACGGCACTGAAAGGCCAGATCCAGGAAACAGAGGCTCAGGGATAGGTGGGTGCCAGGCTGGCTGCACCCAGTTCCCCATGGGTGTTGCTAGGGCTGGCTGCCAAGAGCAAGATTTCACCCACCCCAGGGCAGTGATTTCCCACGCCCAGCTCCTTCCCGCCTCAGGAATATGGAATTCCCGGCAGGGCAGGGCCAGGTTCCAAACCCCAGGGCAGGGGGAAGTGACCCCAAACCAACTCCATGGAAAAGGAAAATGATCCAAGTCCTTTCTCTGCAGGGTTTAGGAGAGCACTGAGAGAGTGCAGTGGACTCTCCAGTGCTGGGAAGGGCCAAGGAGGAATTCCACAGGCTCCTGGGATGGAAAAAGTCTCCTGCATCAACCCCCAACACCCTTCACCACCCCAGGGGGTGAAGCCCACTCCTGAAATACTCCTGCCTGTGCCACCAAGCTGTCACACGTCACATTTATTACCCCACAGACGAGGGCTCCTGAGGTGGGATGGGGTGAGAATCCTTTTGGATCCTGTTTTGGGGACCCCTTTATGTCTTCAGTACATGAGGGGCTTGGGCCGTGGCACTGCATCCCATCCTTGCAGTCAGGGTCAGAGCCAAAAGGCTCCAGAAACACGGGAGCATCCGGTGTTGGGTGTTTGCTGCATCCAAGCTGGAAGTTTGGAGGGGCAAATCATGTCAGGGACTGTGTGGTCCCCAGAAATTACAGTGCCAGGGATCTCCCAGAGTTCCTGGAAGCTCATCCCGGGATACACACGGGGATCAGAACAGCGGGGTCATCTGGCGAGGGTCGTCAGGCAGGATGCTGACAGAATCCTCAGCACGGCCACAGAGCAGGCACAGCATGGTGTATTCCTGGGGGAAGGAAAAGGCGGGGCTGGAAAAAGGGGGGCTGCCACAGCCCAGCTCCCCCACAGGGAAACCCGAGCCAGATCTGGTACCCGATCCCCGATTGCAATCAGAGCCAGGGGATCTCATTTCCAGCCACACTGGCTCCCCTCAGCCCTTTTTCCAGCCCTTTGCTGCCTAGGAGATGTGCCAGGAATGAGGAATGGGGGTCACAGCCCCCTCCCATCACACACATTCCCATGCCAGGTGAGCTGGGCTTCCCCCACGAGGCACAGACTAGTGCTGGGGGGACTCCAGGTAGCCCTGAACACAGGAATGGGGCTCTGAATCCTTCAAGGCTCTGTCCCAGGGAAGCTGGGAATCAGCCCGTGGAAGGGTGGGTGTGGAATTCCAGAGACAGAATTGGGAAGGGCTGTTGAGGGACAAGAGACAAACCTGGTAGTCATCCACCACGCTGAAGGTGTACTCGTGGCGTGCGATCAGGTGGTGGCAGTTCTTGCACAGGTCTGTGGGACAGGGGACACTGGGGTGAGAGGACATGGGCACTGTTCCTGGGGTATCCCCCCACTCCCAATCTCTTGGGACAAGCCCCAATCCTCTGTGCCTGCCCTCACGCCCAGGGCATAGATGTCCCAAGTCCCCAAAGCATCAAGCCCCCAAAATTCCCCCCACAGCAGCTCACCCCCCTTAATGCCCATTGGCAGCTCCCTGATACTGCCTCTAAAACCTGAGACCCCCTCCCCGGGCATCCACCCTTCCCACCCTCAGGCACTCCCCAGATATCGGGGATATCCCCAGATTTTCCCTACTCAAACTAATCCTCCCTTAGGCCTCCCGCTCCTTTAACCTCTGAGCCCCCCATCACACCCCAGCCCTTGAGAGCCCCCACCCCCCAGGAGTCCCTCCCAGCCCTCAAGACCCCCCAGAATCCAAATGCTGCCCCCAAGCCTCAACCTTCAAGGCCTCCACCTGTGCCCCCCAGCCTTCAAGAGCCCCAGATCCCAAAGGTCCCCTCCAGCCCTCTCTATCCCTCAAGATCGCCCAAGCTCCCCCAGAGCCTCCAGCATCCCTCAAGACCCCCAAGACCCAAGGTCTCCCCCAGTACTCAACACCCCCAGACACAGGACCCCTCCCAACCCTCAAGACCCCCGACCTTCAGCGATCCCCGAGCCCCAGGGATGGCTCAAGGATCCCCCAAATGTCGCCCCCAAGAGCCCCACACCCCAAAGGTCCCTGCGCCCCCCCCGACCGCCAAGCCCCAGACCCCAAAGGCTCCCCCAGGCCCTGAAGCCCCCCGGTCCCCCCAGCGCACGGTCGTAGGTGACGATCTCCTCCCCGCCGTCCAGCTCCTCGGCCCGGTTGCTGACCAGCACGAAGTCCCGGCGGCCGCACTGCGCGCAGCCCACGAAGTTCAGGAGGAAAGATCCGCCCTCCAGGCAGGTGGTGCCCTAGGGCGGGAGCACAGGCTAGGACCGGCACAGGGACAGGGACAGGGACAGGGACAGGGACAGGGACCGGTGCCCCCGGTGCCGGTGCCGCCGGTGCCGCCCTCACCCGCTCCGGGTACTCGGTGCCCACACAGCCGCCGCACATCTCGCGCCGCCCTCGCCTCAAATGTCGCGAGACCTGCGCCGAGGGGCGGGGACTCAGTGGCAGCGTGGGCGTGGCCTGCGGCGCAATGGGCGTGGTTTGGGGAAAGGGGCGGGGCCTGAGGGGCCGTGGGGCTCTTGGGGCAACCGGGAATAACTGGGGGGGTCTGGGCTGGGGGGGATCCAGGGCTAGGGGGGACACCTGGAGCATCCTGGGTGCACCCCAGGCTGGTGGGGGACACCTAGAGTGACCTGGGGAGCATCCGCGGCTAGCGAAGGCACCTAGGGCTAGCTGGGAGCTGCTGGGATCAGCAGTGAGATACCCCGGGCTGGTGGGATACCCCGGGAAGTACCTGGGGGGCATCCAGGGCTAGCGGGGGACATCCAGGACTAGCCGTGGGACATTCAGGGCCAACTGTGGGGTGTTGTAAATCGGCTGGGGGACACTCTGGATTAGTGGGGAACCCGCAGGGCCAGGTGCGGGGTGCCTGTGAGGAGCTGGGGGGCATCCAGGGACAGCGGGGGACACCCAGGGCTGACTGCAGGGCGGCTTGGGCTAGCTGGGCGTCATCCAGGGCCAGCTGGGGACTGCCTGCGCTCGATGGAGGACACCACGGACCAGCTGGGGGACATGCAGGGCCGGCGGGGGTCACGCAGGACAAATCGGGGGGTGCCTGGGACGAGCTGGAGCACACAGGGGTCCGTCTAGGGGGGGCCCGGGACGAGTCGGGGAGCTCGCAGGGCTGGCGGAGGACACCTAGGGCTAGCTGGGGGATGCCTGGCACTAGCCGGGGGGCATCCAGGGCTAGCGGGGGACACGTGGGGGGCTGGCCGGGGGGGCTGGCCGGGGACCCCCGCCGCTGTCGGCGGGGCGCTGCGCCTCTGCGCAGCCTGCAGGTGCCGGTGCCGCCGGTGCCGCCGCCGGTGGTGCTGCCGATGCCGGTGTCGGTGCCGCTGCCGGTGCCGGTGCCGGTGGCGCTGGCGGCCGGGGGGCGCCGCTGTGCTGCATTGCGGGGCGGGCGGCCCGTCCCCGTCCCCGTCCCTGCGCCCATCCCCGTCCCCGCCCGCCCGGTCGGCTCGGCCCGGCCCTCCCGGGGGGAGCGGGGCTATCGGGGCCGGGCAGCGCCGCCGGCTCCGGGTAGGAATGTCCCTGCGCGCCCAGATAATGTTATTTATATCGCGGTGCAGGGCGGCTCCGCTCCCCCCGCCCCGCTCCCGCACCGGCCCCGCCGCCGCTCGCCCGCCCGCCGCCCCGCGCAGGTGAGACCCCGCGGCACCGGGATGCGCCGCTCCGGGGAGCACGGGAGGCACCGGGCACGGCGGGAGGCGCCGGTCCCCGGGGACAGGCGGCGGGGGGGCACCGACAGGCGCTGCCCGCCCCGGGGATACCGGGTGGGGGGTGCGGCACCGAACACCGGGCGCGGTACCGGGCGGGGGGGGAAGGTGGGCGCGGAGGAAAGTTTGGTGGCGAGGGTGAAGAGCCCTCCGGGGAGCCTGAACCCCCTTTTCGCCCGCGGCGGGGGGTCTGCTGTCACCCCGTGTCCCTCGGGGCTGCTCTCGGGAAGGACGGGGCGGGCGAGTGGCGGTGACTTTCTAGGGACACCCTGTGGACAGCTCGGGGACACTGTGGGGACACCCTGGGGACACTTTTCCTGGGGTGCCAACCCCTGGAGGGCTCCCCACACTATTCCTTGGTGCTCCCAGCACTGTTGGGACGCGGTGGAAAAGCCGAGTCCTGAGGGTCTTGGTGGGACACATCACCCAATCCACTCAGTTCCCCAGTTTTTAGCAACTGGGCAAACTGGAGGGTTACTGGGAAGGGTTTTTGGGGTGCCGTGCCTTTGGTCCCCCTTGTCCCGGTGCCAGGAGGATGCTCACGGGTGGGCTTTGGGGTGGGGGAATTCTTACCCTCGCCCCAATAACCTAGGGGTCCCCCAGGCCTGATTCCCCAGCTTTTCCCTTTATAAATCTCCAGCTCCCAAACCAGGGGATTGGGGCACCCTAGAAGACGGTGGCAAGCACAGGAGACTCAGAAAACCTTGCTGGGTGCCAGCATGGCCCCCCACAGAGCATTTTATAGCTATCATGTGGTTTTGGGGCACTGCCCGGTGATTTTGGGGTGCAGGGGGGGGCAGCTCCTAAGAAGGGAGCGGGGCTTGGCTGGCGCCGTGCGCAGGGGAGGCCTATTTATAGCCAAAAATGTCTGTGGAGTGTCAGCACGTGTGCGTGTCACCGGCTTGGGTGACATGGGACAGTCCTGGCACGGCCGGCATGTGGCCCTGGGGAAGCCCAAATTCTCCTGGCGGGTGGGAGGGCGGCTGGGGAGCCCTGGCCGGGGCAGGGCGGCGCTGCCGAGGAGCTGTGCCCTGCCTTTCCGTGCCCAGGTGCCCCGTGCTGTGCCGTGTGGCCGTGCCGAGAGGGACCATCTGCTCCCGGCCCTGGCAGGCAGGACACTGTTGGGGGGCTGGGGGGTGCCCCCCGGCTCCTGCTCCTTCCCAACCAGAGCACGGCTGCTTGTGGACACGGGGGAGATGCCGAATCCAAGTGTTTTGGTGAAGTGGAGCAACGGGGACATGCCAGGCTCTGCGTGGCAGTGATGGGGCAGAATTTTGGGGTGTTTCGGGCAATTCTGATGAGTTTCTGTGCACTGGAAATGGGCTTGCTGGCAGCGTGCTGTGGCTGGGAGGGATGAGCCAGGGAATGGGTTTGAGGGTGCCATAAGTGCCAGGCGCCAACCACTGCCCCGGCCGCCCTTGGGGCGTGGGGGGACATTCCGTGTGCCTGGCGGGGGGACCGTGGTGGTGGCAGGGTGCCAGCCCCTCACCGGGAAGTGCTGATTCACCGAGGCGAGCCGCTGGCCGGGGAAGGCGACGCTGCCCGGGCCATGGCCGCAGGATGCTGGCGGCGAGGCCGGCATGCTGGCATTCCCGGCTTTCCGCACGCTGAGCGGCAGGAATGACAATTCCCGGGTGGCGGGTGCTGGTGGCGGCGTGGCTGTGGCAGGGAGGGCTGCTCAGAAGGCGCCGGTGTGGCGGAGGGAGATTTAAAGGGTGGGTAGCGCCCGCGCTCGGGATGCTCCCATGGGCCTGCTGTGGCTCCCTTCGGCGTCATCTCCTCCTCCTACTCCTCCTCCTCCTCCTCTTCCTCCTCCTCTTTCTCCTCCTTGGATGCTCGGAGCCATGGCCCCGCTGCCGTGTTGTCGGGGACATAGTCAGAACTGAGGTATCCTGCAGAGTCTCAACACAACTTAGCACACCCAAACTGCTGGCAGTCCCTGATGCTTTGGGGGCAAAATACCCAAATTTGGTCTCCCAGAGGGCTTTCCTGCCAGGGTGAGCTGGGTGCTCTGGCAGAGGCACAAAGGCCCAGCTCCAGCACCCTCCTGCCTGCTCTGGTACACACCTGCATGGCCCTGCACCCACGCGAGTGCCTGTCGTGTGTGTCCCTTGCACGCTCCGGTGTGGTCCTGCACGTCCTTGCTCAGGCACACAAACTCTGGCACATTTCTACTTGTCCTCGTTCACCTGTGCACGCTCTGGCCTGTCCCTGTGTGTCCTTGCTCACAGGCACACTCTGTCACACTTCTGCGTGTCCTCGTTCACATGTGGATGCTGTGACAAGTTCCTGCATGTCCTGGCTCACAGGTACACGCTCTGCCACCCTTCTCCATGGCCTTCCTCACACTTGCACACTCTGGTGTGCTCCCGAGTGTCCTTGCTGTGCTGCCCACACTCCTGCATGCTCCTCCACGTCCTTTCATGCTCCTGGTGCCTCCGGGTCCAAGCCAAGGCCCTGCCTGTGCCGCCCCGATTAGGGTGCAGAGCTGGGGTGTGGCACAGCCTGGGCCGCCCCGATAACCCTGCCAGGGGGGACATGGGGGATGCCCGGGGGGGACCTGGGGGCCCATGGGTTGTCACAGCTCACGGGGACAGCAGGGATTTGGGGCACACGGGGTTCCCCCTGGCCCTCACCACTGAGGGCTCTGTGCAGCTCTGGGTTGCAGGAGAGGTCCCGGACATGCTGCTGGCTGCGGGGAGCCCCAGCCCATCTCCTCGCACCCCTCAGGGGCCCCAGCAGCCACCGACAGCTGCTCAGAGGCATTTTTAGATACCAGCCACGTCCTATCTGTGTCTCAAATGTCCCCGGGGGTGGGTGCCCCCCCCTGCCGGCAGCTGTCACCCACTTTCTGCTACCAGTGCTGGCGAAGCCCCTGTGCAGTGCAGGGGTCGGGCTGGGGGTGAGCAGCAGTCCCTTCCCTGGGGGCATCCAAGGATTGGGAAGACACCTCTGGGGACCTGGGCTGGGGTTTCAGCTGGGCAGAGAGCCCTGTGTGGGGATGCAGCACCGTAAATAGCCAACAGCACAGCTCGGCAGGGCTCAGCACGGTGGTCCTGGAGAGGGCAGCTGCCAGGTGCCCCCCCAACACCTGGGTGGGGCGAGGCTAAATCCCTCTGAGCAGCTTATCCCGAGGCTCTGAGCCGCAAATCCCCACGTGCCGCAGGGCCCCTGAGCCACCGTGTCCGCACCGATGCTCACGGTCCCGCTGTCCCCCAGGGGCCTCTCACCGGTAGCCGACGGCCACCGGGCCGGGGCACACTGGGACCATGACCTCGGCCAATGACTACGAGCAGCTGGAGCTGCAGCAGCAGTACAGCCGCATCAACGTCCGCTGGGACGCGTCCGACGATGAGCTGGACAACGACAACAGCTCCGCACGGCTCTTCGAGCGCTCCCGCATCAAAGCCCTGGCAGGTGGGTGGCAGGTCCCCTCGGTGCCGCCCGGGTTGTCCCCACTGTTGGTGACCCTGTGCCCGCTGTCCCTCCAGATGAGCGGGAGGCTGTGCAGAAGAAAACCTTCACCAAGTGGGTGAACTCGCACCTGGCTCGTGTCACCTGCCGCATCTCAGACCTCTACATGGACCTCCGGGACGGGCGGGTGCTCATCAAGCTGCTGGAAGTGCTGTCAGGAGAGCTTCTGGTAGGAATCCCATCCAGCTGGAGACCCTGGGACCTCTGGCCTGCCATGGCACACCACACCATTTCTCTTGGTGCTGGCCAAGGGGTGGGGTGGCAGCTTGGGTGTGGGGGTGTCCCTGGGCAGGGCTTGGGGTACCCGGTGTGGGAAGGAGGGTGCTGAGCACTGTCACACCCCAGCCCAAGCCCACCAAGGGCCGGATGCGGATCCACTGCCTGGAGAATGTGGACAAGGCGCTGCAGTTCCTGAAGGAGCAGCGGGTGCACCTGGAGAACATGGGCTCCCACGATATCGTGGACGGCAACCACCGCCTCGTCCTCGGCCTCATCTGGACCATCATCCTCCGCTTCCAGGTGAGGACAGGTGGTTTGGGGCATTCCTCTGCTTCACACCTCATTCCCAGGTGGGAGCCATCCTCCATGGAACTGCTGTTCCAACCCTAGAATGTCCTTTGGCCCCCAGATCCAGGACATCATTGTGGAGACACAGGAGGGCCGGGAGACACGCTCTGCCAGGGATGCACTGCTGCTCTGGTGCCAGATGAAGACAGCAGGGTAGGTGGTGGGACCCCATGTGACCGCGTCAGGGTCTGTGAGTGTCCAGAGAGTGACAGTGACACCCTGTCCCCATCGCAGGTATCCCCATGTGAACGTCACCAACTTCACCTCGAGCTGGAAGGATGGGCTGGCTTTCAATGCCCTCATCCACAGGCACAGGTAGGTGGCACAGCAACAGGAGCTGGGGTGGCAGTGGCACCGAGAGATGTCCCACAGGTGTGTCACTGCTGTCTCGTGCCCTCTGTCCCCAGGCCTGAGCTGGTTGACTTCCAAAACCTTACCAAATCCAATGCCCGGCACAACCTGGAGCACGCGTTCAGTGTGGCAGAGCGGCACCTGGGCATCACCCCTCTCCTCGACCCTGAAGGTGAGGCAATTGCTGTCCGTCCCCCTGCCTCAGTTTCCCCAGGGACATTCCCAGGCTCCAGAGCGTGGAGCACAGAGAAGTTCCCAATACATGGAAGGAGGGCCTGGGTGGGCACAGGAGGGACCTCATGAGGCTGTGGTGGCCTGTGAAATTGGGTTGAGGTTGGGTCGGGAGTGACGCCTCTCATTCGCACCGGGCAGATGTGTTCACGGAGAACCCCGATGAGAAGTCCATCATCACCTACGTGGTGGCCTTCTACCACTACTTCTCCAAGATGAAGGTGCTGGAGGTGGAAGGAAGGCGCCTGGGCAAGGTAGGGAACGGCGTTGAGGCGGTCGGGGGTGTTCTCTTGGGGTGCCGGCCCCTCATGCTCCCCCCCGGTCCCGCCGCAGGTCATTGAGCACGCCAAGGAGACGGAGCGGATGATCGAGGGCTATGGGGGGCTGGCGTCCGACCTGCTCACCTGGATTGAGCAGACCATCGCCTCCCTCAACAGCCGCAGCTTTGCCAACTCGCTGGCCGGGGTGCAGCACCAGCTGCAAGCCTTCAGCACCTACCGCACCGTGGAGAAGCCCCCCAAGTAAGAGCCCCCTGCTCCCCGTGCCCACCCGGCGCTGTGGGGCACCCAAGGGTGCCCAGCGCTGAGCTCTTTCTGGGGCAGGTTTCAGGAGAAGGGCAACCTGGAGGTGCTGCTCTTCACCATCCAGTCGCGGATGAGGGCCAACAACCAGCGTGTCTACACCCCACACGAGGGGCGCCTGGTCTCTGACATCAACCGGGTATGGGCTCCGTCTGCCATGGTCGAGTCAGGTCCATCTCCTGGGGGAAACTGAACTCCTCTCCTGGGGCAGACTGGGTCTATCCCCAAGCAGTTCAGGTCCTTGGGCAGGCTGGGATGGGTTCTGGAGCAGGATGAGTCCGTCTCCTGAGGCAGTTCAGGTCCATCCCAGGACATGCTGAATCCATACTGGGACAGGACTGATCCATGCCATGGCAGGTTGTGCTCCTCCACCTGGGGGTCACCAGCAGAACGAGACACGGGTCGGTGGGAGGATGTGGGATATGGGGGATGTGCCACCTGTCCAGTGCCGCCTTCCCCCAGGCCTGGGAGCAGCTGGAGAAAGCGGAGCACGAGCGGGAGCTGGCACTGCGCAACGAGCTGATCCGTCAGGAGAAGCTGGAGCAGCTGGCACGGCGCTTCGACCGCAAAGCAGCCATGAGGGAGGCCTGGCTGAGCGAGAACCAGCGCCTGGTGGCCCAGGTGAGGAGGGGAACCACCCACCCCAGGGACCCCCGCCCTGAGGAGCTCACCAGAGCCTCACCACGGGCTCTGTGCCGGGCAGGACAACTTCGGGCAGGACCTGGCAGCCGTGGAGGCGGCCAAGAAGAAGCACGAGGCCATCGAGACAGACACGGCTGCCTACAGGGAGAGGGTGCAGGCCATTGAGGCGGTGGCCAAGGAGCTGGAGCTGGAGGGCTACCACGACATCCAGCGCATCAATGGGCGGAAGGACAACATCCTGCGGCTCTGGGAGCAGCTCCTGGAGCTGCTGGCTGCCCGGCGCCAGCGCCTGGAGATGAACCTCACCCTGCAGCACCTCTTCCAGGAGATGCTCCATTGCATCGACTGGATGGATGAGGTCAAGGTGAGCTGTGGGCATTGGGTGTCACCATGGGTGAGATGTCTTTGTCCCACCAGGTGTTGGTAGGAGTTCACTGGGGAGGGAGATGAGATGTTGGGGTGCTGGTGCTGAGTTTTGGGTGTCAATGCAAAATGGCTGAGGGTCTCCTGCAGGTGAAGCTGGCATCTCCTGAATCTGGGAAGCACCTTCTGGAAGCAGAGGAGCTGCTGCAGACCCACCGTCTGCTGGAGGCCGACATGGCAGTACAGGCAGAGAAGACCCGGGCCATCAGCGCTGCCGCCCTCCGCTTTGCTGACGCTGAGGGTGGGTGTGCCAGGACACCCCTGCATCCCTGGCGTGGCCAAGGGGAAGCAGGACACTGTCCTGACGAGCACCCACTCTGCTCCCTGCCCAGGCTATCGTCCCTGTGACCCCAAAGTCATCCGGGACCGCGTGAGCCACCTGGAGATGTGCCGGCGAGAGCTGCAGGTACTGGCGGCGCGGAGGAGAGCCTTGCTGGAGCAATCCCGCTCCCTCTGGACCTGCCTGTGGGAGCTCGACGAGGCAGAGAGCTGGATCAAGGAGCAGGAGCAGCTCTACTCCTCGCTGGACTTCGGGAAGGACCTGCCGGGCGTGCTGCTGCTCCAGCGGCGGCACGCCGCCTTCGAGGCCGAGCTGCGGAGCCGGGGCGGGCGGCTGGAGCAGACGCTGGCGGTGGGCGAGGGGCTGGCGGCCGCGGGCCGGGCGGCCGAGCAGCTGCGGGAGCGGGGGGTGGCCGTGCGGGCGCTGTGGGCGCAGCTGGAGGAGCTGGCGGCCTTCCGACGGCGCGGCCTGCGGGAAGCCGAGGGCTTCTTCCAGTTCCAGGCGGAGGTGGAGGAGTTGGCGGAGGGGCTGCAGGATGCCCGCCGGCGGGCGGCCGCCGAGGAGCTGGGCCAGGATGAATCCCGCACCCTCGTCCTGCTGCGGCAGCACCAGGAGCTGCTGGACGAGCTGGCGGCCGCCCGGGAGCAGCTGGACAGGCTGGCTCAGCAGGCCGAGGGCTTCCCGCCGGAGCTGCGCGCCGGCCCCGAGGCGCAGAGCCGGCTGGCGGCCCTGCGGGAGCTGCAGGCCGAGGCGGCCGCGCTGGCCGAGCGCCGCGGCCGTCAGCTGCAGGATGCCCTAAACCTCTACACCGTTTTCGGGGAGAGCGATGCCTGCCATCTCTGGATGGGCTCCAAGGAGACCTGGCTGGCAGAGCTGGAGGTGCCGCAGGCGCTGGAGGACCTGGACGTGACGCAGCGCAGGTAGGAAGGAGCCCCTGCCGTGGCGGAGCTGCCGTGCCCTGTCCTGAGCTGCTGCTCTTCTAAGCCTGGACGTTCCCACAGGCTGGACGGGCTGGAACAAGACATGGCCACCGTGGCTTCCCAGATCGCCGCGGTCAACCAGGCAGCCGATGGGCTCCTGGCTAGCGGGCATCCCCGGAGCCCCCAGGTGCGGCAGTGCCGGGAGCAGCTCAACGAGAGGTACGGTGGCGGTGGTGCCGGGCAGGCGGGTGACGCGGTGCCGGTGCATCCCCCGCCATCCCCCGCTTCTGTCCCGCAGGTGGGGCCGGTTCCGGGAGCTGGTGTCGGAGCGCCGGAGGGCGGTGGGCTCGGCACTGCGCCTCCTTAACTACAACCTGGAGTCCGAGGAGACCCAGAAATGGCTGCGCAGCAAAGCCCGTGCGGTGGAGGCCACGGCCGAGCTAGGCCGTGACCTGGCTGGCGTCCTGGCCACGCAGCGCAAGCTCTACGGCATCGAGCGGGAGCTGGCCGTGGCCCAGGACCGCCTGGCCGCCCTGCGCTCCCAGGCCGAGCGCCTGGCCGAGGAGCGGCCCGAGGCAGCCACCGAGGTGGCCCAGAAGCTGGCAATGGCCACCTCCGCCTGGGACGAGCTGCAGGCGGCCCTGGCAGAGCGCGCAGTGTCCCTGGGGGAAGCCGGGCAGCTCCGGAGTTTCCTGCAGGACCTGGATGACTTCCAGGCGTGGCTCTTCGGCGCTCAGAAAGCCGTGGCGGCCGTCGATGAGGTGCCGGCGTCGCTGGGGGAGGCAGAGGAGATGCTGCAGCGGCACGAAGCGGCCCGGCGCGATGCTGAGGAGCATGAGGGAGCCTTCGCCGCCTTGGTGGAGGCGGGGGAGCGGGTGCTGGGGGGACAGACGGACCCCGAATACGAGGGGCTGCGGCAGCGCCTGGGCGGCGTGAAGGACGGCTGGGCAGCCCTGGGCAAGATGGCAGAGGCTCGGAAGCGCTTCCTCACCCAGTGCCGCAACTTCCAGGAGTTCCTTCGTGACACCAAGCAGGCGGAGATCCTCCTCACCAAGCAGGTGGGTGCTCAAGCGGTGTCCTTTGGGTGTCTTGGCTCACGGGCACCCCAAAAATGGGTGATCATGCGCTGATCCCTCGCTGTGCCCCTCAGGAGTACACGCTGTCCCACCTGGAGCTGCCCTCAACACTGGAGGGCTCGGCTGCTGCCCTGCACCGCTTCCAGAACTTTCGTGCTGATGTGGAGAGCAATGCCAAGAAGGTGCCAGAGGTGGTGGTTGGTGGCACCAAGCTGGTGGCTGAGGAGAACATCTTTGCCGAGAAGATCTCTGAGAAGTGCCGAACTCTCCAGGAGCGGTGAGTCCGGCACATTGCTGGTGGATGGGTGGGCAGCGTGTGGGCAGTGGGGCTGATGCTGCACATCCATGGTTCCCTGACAGGCATGGAGCTGTCATGGACAAGGTGGAGGAGGCAGCAGGTTTGATGCAGGACAACCACGACCTACAGACCTTCCTGCAGAGCTGCCGTGAGGTAGGAATGCAGCATGGCTGGTGGCATCCCTGGGGGGTCCCCACTGGCTGAGCACTGACACCCTTTCCCTGCAGTTTGATGCCTGGGTGGATGAGAAGATGCTGATGGCTCAGGATGTCTCCTATGGAGAAGCCCGTGGTCTCCACAGCAAGTGGCAGAAGCATCAGGCATTCATGGCTGAGCTGGCACCCAACCAGAGCTGGCTGGAGAAGATTGAGGCGGTAGGTGCCAGCACCGTGATCGGAGAGGGGGAACAGAGTTGGGGAACAGTCTGGAGCATGAGGAATTGCCGAGGGAGCTGGGAGAAAAGGAGGCTCAGGGGGGATCTTCTTGCTTTCTACAACTCTCTGACGGGAGGGTGCAGCCAGTTGGGGGTTGGCCTCTGCTCCCAAGAAACAAGGGAAAGGATGAGAGGAAACAGCCTCAAGTTGCACCAGGGCAGGTTTTGATTGGATATCAGGGAAAATTTCTTCAGGGAAAGGGTTGTGCAGCCCTGGCACAGACTGCCCATGGTGGTGGTAGAATCCCCATCCCTGGAGGGATTTAAAAGCTGTGTAGACGTGACATTTGGGGACATGGGTTAGTGGTGGCCTTGGCAGTTCTGGTGGAATGGTTGGACTCGTTGTCCTGGGAAGTTCCATGACTCTGGAGTGCTCCCAGCCTGCTGCACGGGTGCGGTGCCCCCCGTGCCGCAGTGACCACCCACGTCTGCGCTGTCGCCGCAGGAGGGGACGGAGCTGGCCACGCGCAAGCCGCAGTACGGTGCGGTGGTGACGCAGCGGCTGGAGGAGCTGCGGCGGCGCTGGGCCGAGCTGCGCCGCGCTGCCGAGGACAAGGGCCGGCAGCTGTTCGAGGCCGAGCGCGCGGCGCTCTACGCCCGGAGCTACGGGGAGCTGGAGAGCTGGCTGGGGCGGGCGCAGGAGGAGCTGCGCCACGCTGAGAAGGTCAAGGACCTCACCGCCACCAACCTGCTGCTCAAGAGGTTGACGGTGGGTACTGGCATCTCACAGGGTTCTTTGGGAAGGGGCAGGAGGTCCAAGGCCATGGAGTCTGCTCCCAAATGGGACTGGGGTTCTCCATCTAGGCTCAGATCCTTAACTCACATGGATTTGCCCCGCCAGAGACTGGAAGAGCAAGTGAAAACATGGATGAAGGAGCTGGAGGAACTGGGGTGGCAGGGCACCCCTGGTGCTGGGGACGTGCCAGATACCACCAAGCAGGAGCAGATGCTCCGGCAGCGAGTCCTTGAGCTGCTGGAGCCACTGGAGAGGAAGAGGAAGGAGCTGGAGACTGCTAAGGCCATGTACCAGCTGGGGCGGGATCTGGAGGATGAGACGGTGAGTGTTCTTGCTGTGGCAGGGGCTGGGGGGGCTGGGGGTGCCCATGAGTGCTGCAGGGGGCTCAGTGGGTGCTCCTTCCCGCAGCTGTGGGTGCAGGAGCGGCTTTCCCTGGCGAGGTCAACGGATCACGGCACCGACCTCCCGAGCGTGCAGCGCCTGACCAAGAGGAATGAGGTGAGCCTGGGTACTGCAGCAACAGCCGCCATCCCGGGTGGTCCCTCGGGATCCATCCCATGGGTGACTCTCACTGTGATTCCCTCCTGCCGGCAGACACTGCAGAAGGAGCTGGCGGGCCATGCCCCCCGCCTGGGCGAGGTGCTGAGCCGGGGAGAGGCAGCGGGGAGCGGTGAGGAGCCAGGCCCGGAGCTGGCGGCACAGGCGCAGGAGCTGCGGGCGCTGTGGGAGACGCTGCGGGAGGAGGCAGCCGCCCGGCACCGGCGCCTGCGGGAGGCTGAAGAGGCCCAGCAGTACTACCTGGATGCTGATGAGGCCGAGGCCTGGGTCAGCGAGCAGGAGCTCTTCATGGGACCCGAGGAGAAACCAAAGGTGAGGAGTGATTCCATGTGGTGGTCCGTGTTTGGGGGGTCTGTGCTGCGGCACTGGGCCGTGCCTTGCTGGGATATCCAGTGTTGACCCAGGTGGTGCCACGCTGTTCTGTTGAACATCATCCACATGTGACACACCATGGCGTGTCCAGCTCCTATGTGTCGTTCCCATGCCATTACACAGCATCCATCCCATTCCATGCCATGCCCCTCTGGGCTCGCCATTGCTCCCTGTGGCATCAGACAGAGCCAGAACATTCCCATAGGGCAGACGCTGAGTCTAGGCCCTAGTCCCTGTCCCCCAACCATTCCAGGTGCTGATGGCACCGATGTTTTCCATGCCATAGGATGAGGAGAGCTGCTTGATGATGCTGAAGAGACATGTCCGGCAGCTGCGCTCCATCGAGGACTACGGACAAACCATCAAGGAGCTGGCGGGGAGGGCACAGCAGCTGCTCTCTGCCGGCCACCCCGAGGGGTAGGTGCTACACCACATGTCCCCTGTCCTTTGGGGCAACCCCGTGCCCTCAGCACCGTGTGGGTGGGGGCTTTGGCTGGAGCTCTGGCAGTGTCAGCTGCTCCAGTTGGGCAGGGAGGTGGTCGGAGAGGGATATGGGGAGCACAAAGCGGGTCCTTCACCCCCAACCCGCCAGATGTCAACATGGGTGGGTCTGGGACATGTTTTCCTTGGTGAGAACTGGGTGTCTGTGTGCCGGGGCCGCGCAGGGAGCAGATCATCCGGCTGCAGGGCCAGGTGGACAAGCACTACGCGGGGCTGAAGGAGGCGGCCGAGGAGCGCCGCCGGCGCCTGGAGAACATGTCCCACCTCTTCCAGCTGAAGCGGGAGGTGGAAGAGCTGGAGCAGTGGATTGCTGAGCGCGATGTGGTTGCTTCCTCCCCGGAGATGGGGCAGGACCTGGACCATGTCATGGTGAGAGTGATGCCATGGATGTGGCGGTACTGACGGGTGGCTTGAGGCAAGGTTACTTGACTCTTCTCTTCCCTCCATGCAGCTCCTGCGGGAGAAGTTTCGTGAGTTCGCGCGGGAGACAGGGAGCGTGGGGCAGGAGCGCGTGGACCGGGTGAACCTGACCATTGAGGACCTCATTGACGCGGGGCACATCGAGGCAGCCACCATAGCTGAGTGGAAGGACGGGCTGAACGAGAGCTGGGCCGACCTCCTGGAGCTGATTGACACCCGCATGCAGCTCCTCGCTGCCTCCCATGACCTCCATAAATACTTCTACGACGGTGCTGAGCTGCTGGCCCTCATCGCCACCCGGCGCCAGGAACTGCCCCAGGATCTGGGCGAGGATGCCGGCACAGTGGAGGCTTTCCACCGCATGCACAACGCCTTTGAGAGGGACCTCCAGCTGCTGGAGGCACAGGTGAGGCTCCAACCTGACGTGGATGCCAGCACTCAGCATTCTCTGTGGTCTGGTGGAAGGTGTCCCTACCCATGTTGGAGGCTGGGCTCAATGATCCTTGAGGTCCCTTCCAACCCAAGCCGTTCTGTGGTTCGTGCAGGTGCAGCAGTTTCGGGAGACAGCAGCGCGCCTGCAGACTGCCTATGCCGGGGAGAAGGCGGCTGGAATCCAGGAGCAGGAGCAGGAGGTGTCCCGAGCGCTGCAGGAGCTGCTGGAAGCGTGCAGCGGGCGCAGGGCACGGCTGACGGACACGGCCGACAAACATCGCTTCTTCAGCATGGCACGGGATCTGCTCTCCTGGATGGAGAGCACTGTCCGGCAGATTGAGACACAGGAGAAACCCAGGTATGGATGCACCCAGCGGGCACCCGGGATGGGGCATGGAACCGATGGCACCACTGACCCTGGTGCCTCTGTGTCCTCAGGGATGTCTCCTCGGTGGAGCTGCTGATGAAGTACCACCAGGGAATTAAGGCTGAGGTGGATGCTCGGGGCAAGAACTTCACCGACTGCATCGAGCTGGGCAAGAAGCTGCTGCAGCGCAAGCACCAGGATTCACCAGAGGTGAGGGAATCAGGGATGGGGCGTGGTGGGGGTGATGCCATCTGGGCCACTCCCTAACAAGATCCCCTCACAGATCAAGGCGAAGCTGGTGGAGCTGGTAGACAAGAGGAAAGCCATGATGGAGACGTGGGAGCAGCGCTGGGAGCGGCTGCGGCTGCGTGAGTGCACTGGGGGTGCCGGGAGGAGTGCGGCAGTGCCAGGGGTGGCTGGTCCAGGGGCTGAGCACTGCCCATCCCTCCCACAGTGCTGGAGGTGTGCCAGTTCTCCCGCGACGCCTCGGTGGCCGAGTCGTGGCTCATGGCTCAGGAGCCCTACCTGGCCAGCAGCGACTACGGGCAGACGGTGGACGCGGTGGAGAAGCTGCTGAAGCGGCATGAGGCTTTTGAGAAGTCCTCCGCCACTTGGGAGGAGCGCATTGCTGCCCTCAGGAAGCTGACAACGGTGAGAAAGGCTCGGGATGAGGCCTCTGCCTGCCCTGGTGCAGTCTGCCCCCCATCCCTTACCACCTTCACTCCTTGCCTGGCAGCTGGAGCTCCTCGGCGGGCGCTCTCTGCGTGAGGGGCTGGCGCGGGACGGGACGACGCGTTCCGAAGCTCCTGACTACTGCCTGGATCTGGATGGGGAGCTGGAGGCCGGGTAAGGGATGCTACCATCATTCCACGTGACCAGGGACACTGTTTCCACATCCCTCTTCTCAGACCATTAAGGATGTTTTGTAGCATTAAGGGGCTTTTTAGCAATTTGCCTTTTCCAAGCAATAAATTGATGCTGATGAAGAGAAGAGATGAAGGTCAAGCCTCACCCTGACAGGGCTTTTATCCCTCGGGGGGACAGGAGAGCAGCAGCCGGCCCCATCCCTATGGGATCATGTCTAGGATGGGGATGCTGACTGGCTGTCTCCCTGTGCAGGTCAGAGGAGGAGGAGGAAGAGGAGGAGAAGAAGGATGTGAGCACACAGGACACTTCGCTGCCCACTACTGATGGACCAGAGCCGGTCAGTTCTTGAATTTAGCTTTTACCTTCCCTAATGACCAAAAAGGTGTCCCTGCATGCAAAAAATTGTCCCTGCATGCAAAAATGTGTCCCTGCATGTCCCACAGCTCCTGGCACCCCTTGTGACCATGACCTCACTGTGTTGACAGATCCCCACATTCCCAACCCTCACCTTGTCCTTGCCTTGTGTTGAATAAATGTTGAATGACCCCAAAAAGGCCGGGTGGGCAGAGGGGTACTGCAGGTCCCCTTTGCCCCAGCTCCTGGGGTGACATGGGGGGTGGCATCCATGGTGTACGTGTGTGTCTGGAATCCGTGCAGCAGCCAGAGTTGGAGTGTCTGCCCTGGGGCCACCGTGTCACCCCAAGGGACATCATTGTTGTGTGGGACATCAGCACCCTGCAGGGCATCATCACCCTGCGGGGCATTGTCACCCTGTGGGGCATCATTGGAGCCATGCAGGACATCAGCACCCTGCAGGGAATTTTCACCCTGTGGGTCATTATCACCCTGTGGAGCATCATCACCCCGAGAGACACAGTCACCGTATGGAGATTGTCACCCCATGGGGCACTGTCACCCTGTGGGACGTTGTCACTCTACCCGGCGTCAGCAGCCTGTGGGGCATCATTACACCCTGCAGCATTGTCACCCTCCGAGGCAGGCATCGTCACCCCCAGGGCATTGTCACCGTGTGCCAGCCCCTGTGCTTGCTGCCAGCTCTCTGCTCCTCCCACATGCTCTGCCTGTGCAGGGACACGATGGCTCTCTGTGGCTCTGCCTGCTTGGGGACAGGAACCCCTTCTGCTTCTTCTGCCTGCCTGGGGACATGGGCATCTGCTGGCTTCTCAGGGACCAGGTCACTCTCCCCTGCCCGGGGGCAGGATCCTTGAGTGCCTACACAGGAACAAGCTCCTTTGTGCCTGATCAGGGACGTGGGGATCTTCTGGCTGCTCAGGGAGAGTGTACCCCTCTGCCTGCTTGGGAACATGGCCATTTTCATCAGCTTGGGGACAGAAGCCCCTCTCTGCTTACTGCCAGCCTACTCAGGGACATGGGCATCCTCTGGCTCCTTGGGGACAGGAACCCCTTCTGCCTCTTCTGCCTGCTTGGGGACAGGGGCATCTCCTGGCGCCTTGGGGCAAGATCATTTCTGCCAGCACAGGGACACGTGCATCTTCTGGCTACTCAGGAACAGGATCCTCTCTGCCTGCTTGGGGACATGGCCACTTTCAACTGCTTGGGGACAGGAGTGCTCTCTGCTTACTGCCAGCCTGCTCGGGAACATGGCCATCTTCTGGATCCCTGGGGACCAGATCACCTTCCCCTGCATAGGGACAGGATCCTTGGGAACCTACTCAGGGACAAGAACATTTCTGCTGGCTCAGGGACATGGGCATCTCCTTGGGGACAGGGTCCTGCTCTCCCTTCTGGGGGACATGGGAATCTTCTGGCTCCTTGGGGACAGGGTGGTCTTTGCTTGCTCAGGAACACAGACACGTTTCCCTGCTTGGGGACAGGAGTCCCCTCTACCTGGGACATCTCCTGCTGCCCTGGGAGCAAGATCACATTCGCCTACTTGGGGACGAGACCCCTGACTACACATCTGGGGACAAGATCACCGCCTGCCTGGAGACATGGGCATCTCCTGGCTCCTTGGGGACAGGGGCCCTGGCCAAGCCCCTCCTGTGGCACCCAGCTGAATGGGCATCCCCTTCATCAGGAACCACTTGAGATGATGGCACTGGTGCCACGGTCCCCAGCCAGACCTCCCACTGTCCCCATGTCCCCTGGGCTGGCGACAACACTGAGGTGGCTCCCAGGACTGCTCATCTAGCTTGGTTCAATGTCATCACCCCAAATCTGAGGAGACACTGGCACCAAGACAGGGCTGCCAGGGCTGGCCCATGTCCCAGCCTCTCACTGGGGTCCTCCCAGTAGCCACCAGTTTTTGAGTACTGGAGCTGGTGGCTTCACTGGCACTGTGCTGAGGGTCCCAGCTGATTGCTGGGGTCTTCCCAGTACCCACCAGTTCCCACATACTGGAGCTTGTGGGGTCACTGGCACTGAGATCTGGGGATCCTAGGGCTGGACCACATCCCAGCCACTCACCGGGGTCCTCCCAGTAGCCACCAATTCCTGCATGCTGGAGCTGGACACGTGGACACGCACCCACATTGACACCACACTGAGACCCAGGGCTGGACCATGTCCCAGATGCTCACTGGGGTCTTCCCAATAGCCATCAGTTCCCACACACTGGATCTGGGGTCACTGGCACTGCTCGGAGGGTCCCAGGGCTGGACTCACTGCAGGATCCCAGACACTCAGTGGGGGATCACATCTGGGATGGGGATGCTGAGCCATCCTCCCAGCAGACACCAGTTCCCACCTATCGGGACTGGTGGGGTCACTGGCATCCAGGCACGCACTCGGGTCCTCCCAGCAGTCACCAGTTCCCACATTCACTGTCACTGGTACGGACACCTGGGGGTGATTCATCCCCAGGCCACCAGACTGAGGTCCATGACCCGCTGGTGACAGCAACCCGTGTGCCCAGTGCCACCATGGGAGGGGACAACACCTTGCCACGGGTCCGTCAGTGGCAGTGGGTGGGCGACACTGCGGCATAACCACGCTGTTGCCTCGCAACAGCTGGCACCGAGGACAGGTGACGAGGAGCCGGTGTCACCGACCCCACGGCCACCGCGGGAGGAGCCGGAGGAGCCGGCCACGCTGCCCGCCCGTGTCAGCAGCGTCCAGCTGGAGGGCTACCTCGGCCGCAAGCACGACCTGGAGGCGGCCACCAAGCGCGCGTCCAACCGGTAGGCACGGCAGCGGTGGCGGCGAGCGCGGTGTCCCCGGCGGGGCGGTGTCCCCAGGGTGACACGGTGCTGGCGCAGGTCGTGGAGCACGCGGTACTGCGTCCTGCGGGGCGGCCAGCTCGCCTTCTTCAAGGACGCCAAGAGCCGCGCGCTGGGGCTGCCGTGCCAGGGCGAGGAGCCCCTGGGGCTGTGGGATGCCCGCTGCGAGGTGCCCGCGGGCTACAAGAAGAAGAAACATGTCTTCAAGCTCAGGTGAGGGCGTGGCGCCTTGTGGGGTGGCACAGTGGGCATGCGTGGCACTGGTGTCTCTGCTCTGTCCCTAGGCTCAGCAATGGCAGCGAGTGGCTTTTCCATGGCAAGGATGAGGTGAGGGGTGGCCTGGGGGGACAGGGGACACGGGGTGGCTAGTGGAACTCAGGGTGGCTGGGGGATGTGGTGGTGGTCAGCAGTGCCCAAGGGGACAGGGGTGGTCAGAGAGGGACACAGGGTGGCTGGATTTTCCCAGGGGGACACCAGTGGTGCCCAGGGGTATATGGGGTGGCTGTAGTTGTCCAGGGGACGTGGTGGTGGCCAGCAGTGACCGGGGTACACAGGGATGGCCAGGGGATGTAGTCAGCAGTGGCCAGCAATGCTCAGAGGGGCAGGAGATGGCCAGGGGTGCCATGAGGACAGTGAGGGGCTGGCAGTGCCTGAGGGGACATGGGTGCCTGTGGAAAACTTGGAGCAACTAGCATCATTTGGGGGGCCCTGGGGTTGGCTGGGATTCTGTTGGGGGGCCAGGGAAGCCCCCCTGACCCCACCCGTGCCCGCAGGAGGAGCTGCAGGCCTGGCTGCAGGGGCTGAGCGCGGCCATCACGGAGTGTCGGGGCAGCCGCGGGAAGGTGCAGAGCCTCCCCCTGCCCATACCCCCCGCCCCCCCTGAAGCCCCCCTGCCCCGCAAGGACAAGGAGAAACGCTTCAGCTTCTTCCCAAAAAAGAAATAACCCCCCTGGATGGCGGGGGTGGGGGGGATGACACCCCACATCACACCAGCGGGGCCACGCGTGCGTAAGGAGACGCGTGTGCGGTACCTGCACAGGTGCCACCAGGTCTAGAGGGGCACGCGGGGGTCACGCGTGGGCAGGAGCCCCCGAGCCCCCCCGCCACGAGCACACGTGTCCGTGTGCACAGTGTATATATATATATATTTGTATTTATATATATACATACATTTACACGCTTCAGGCACACCCCTGTGCGGAGGCGGCCGCAGGCGCCCCCCAGGCGTGTGCCCCCCGTGCCCATACGTGTCCCTGCACGCACACGTCTGCACACGTGTGTCCCCGCATGCAGGTGCACCCCCGGCCCCCCTCCGCACGCACGGCACAGGTGTGCGCCCCACAGGTGTGCATGGACCCCCCAGCACCCGCACGGGGGGCGCGTGGGTGCCCCCCAAAGCCATAACCCCCTCCTGCAGCGCGTGGGTGCAGAGGGGGGACCCCCTGGCCCCCGCGGGCACCAACCAAAGAGCGTCAGCCCATGGGGGCCCCTCTCTGGCACCCCCCATCCCGTGCCCCCCCCCAGCCGGGGTGGGGGGGCCCCCTGCACCCCGCAGCTGGGCCGAGACACCCTGGGGGGGAGGGCGACCACAGAGGAACTTTGGGTTCAGTTTGGGGTTTTTTTTCTAATAAAGATGTGAAAGCAAGTGGGGTGCAGTGCTGGGTGCCTGCGGAGCATGGGGGGCCGCTGGTACTTGTAGTGGGAGGTTCATGGGGTTCCCAAGGTCCTGTGGGCAGAGAGAACCAGAGGTGTCCCTTGTCCAGAACAGGATGGGAGTCCTCAGGGGTCTCCTTCTGCCAGGTGGGTTGGGGGAGTCCATGGGGTACCCCTTTTCCTGTAGGCTGGGGGGCCATGGGGTGCCCCTTCTTCCAGGTACATCGGGGTCCATGGGGTGCCCCTTCTCCTGGACAAGCTGGGTGTCCATGGGGTGCTCCTTCTTCCAAGAGGGCTGAGGGTCCACGGGGCTGCCCCTTTTCCTGGGCAGATTGGAAGTACCCAAAGGGTTCCTTTTTGCAAACAGCTGGGGGGCCATGGGGTGCCCCTTCTTCCAGGTAAGTTGGAGATCCATTTGGTTCCCCTTCTCCCAGGCAGGTTGAGGATGCATGGGGTGACCCTTCCTCCAACTAGACTTGAGGTCCATGTGGTGCCCCTTCTCCCAGGCAGGTTGGGGGTCCACGGGATGCTCCTTCCCTTGGAGTCCCCAGGACACCCGTTCTCCCCGCTCCAGCCCCTAGCTGGCAGCGTCGAGGGTCTGAAACTTCTGCCGCAGGTCCCTGACGAGGCCGTGGCGCAGCGGCTCGGGGCTGCCGGGGGTCTCGGGGCAGCGCCGCCGGTACTCCTCGGACGCCTGGTAGGCTTTGCAGCGCTCCACCACCGCCTTCAGGCAGATCTTCTCCCGCGTGGTGGGCGAGCGGATCTGCACGTAGGCCGGGGGCTCCGGCAGCCGCTCCAGCACCAGCACCCGCTGCCCCTGGCCCAGAGGGGCTTCGGCCGCCACCCACAGCGCCCCGTCACTGCTGTACCGCGCTGGAGCCGGGCTCGGGGTGCTGGAGCCCCCGTTGGCCTCAGCGCTGCGGCTGCGGCCGCTGCCCCGCTCCTTCCCGGCCGGGCGCCCACCGCGGCCGGGACCCTCGGGCGCCGAGCGGCTGCGGCTCACCGGCGGCGGCCGCGGGGCCCCGAAACGGGCACGAAGCTCCCGCACGTCGGGCCAGGCGAAGGGTTCGGTGCCCACGGGGCTTGAGGGGCTGCGGGGGTCACGCGGGGACGGGGACGCCACCAGCACCTCGTCCTGCGGCACAGCCAGCGAAGGGGTGCTGGGCGGGGGGTCCCCGTCCTCCTGCGGCGGCAGCGGGGGACGGCGGGTGCCGGCGCGGCGGCTCTTGATGCGGAGGCTGTACTGCCGGGCCAGCTGGTACACCTTGGTGCCCAGATGAGGGGGTGTCAGCAGCAGCTGCGGGGGTGGCCCTGGGGGTGACACCGCAGTGCCCACATCATCCTCCTCCACGATGAGCAGCGGCTCGGGGGGCTGCGCCCCGTTCTCCTGGCACGGCTCCGGTGCCTCGGGCTGGGTGGGGGGCTCAGGGCTCTCGGGGGGCCGAGGGAGCCCATTGAGGCGGCACACGGAGCTCCGCACCAGCCCCTTGGGGATGAAGGAGAGGCTCTCGCGGCGGCGCACCCCGAAACCGGCATCGCGGTGCTCGGCGTGGCCATAGTAGCTCTTGATCTTGTCGAGGAGCAGGCGGTCCCGGTTGGAGAGCAGCGATTCCCGGCGGGCTCTGATGAGGGGCTCGGGCGAGGGGATGGCACTGGGGGACTCCCCGGGCTCCGTGGATTCGAGCGGGGGGCCCCCATCCAGGCTGAGGGTGCTGCCACCATGGCTGGGGGTGCGTCCCAGGGTCCCCTCCAGTGCCAGGCTGCTCCTTCGGGACAAGCTGCCGCCGCCGCCGAACCGCTCGGCGATGACGCTGGCCTGGTCCAGCACGGAGGGTGGCAGGATGCTGGCGGCTCCTTCCCCCTCCTCCTCCTCCTCTTCCTCGCTGCTCAGCACCTGCAAATCCTCCGCAGCGTGCTCCGGTTCCCTGTCCCCGCTGGGCAGTGCCAGGGTCCCCACCAGGGATGGGGATCTGGGGACCTTGGGGTGCTCCCCAGCACTGCTGTTGGGGCTGTGGGTGCTGGGTCCCTGGGCACTCCCGGCTGGGGCCCGGGGGGTCACACTGACCTTCTCACAGCTCCCTGGCCCCCAGCTGCTCGGCCGCTTGGGTCCCTCCAGCAGCCACGGGTGTTCCCCAGCCTGGGCAAGACAAATGTGGGGAGTCATGAGCTGGGGGAGCACCCAGGTGCTCCGAGCAGGTTAAATCCCAGCCAAGCCATGGGGCCCAGGGAGGGGGCACTGAGAGCAACACGGGACAACATCACACCACCTGGCGTGGTGTGGGATGTCCTGGTAGTGAGGCGGGGTACCCCAGGAGTGATGTGGGAGTGCCCCAGAAGCGATTTGGGGTGCTCTGCATGCCCTCTTGGGGTTTGAAGGGCTGGTGTAGGTACCTGCTCCTCCTGGGGCTCCAACAGCAGATCCCTGGACCCTGGCAGCTCCTCCTGGCAGTCCTTGCCCAAAGCCTCCTCTTCCTCCTCCTCCTCTTCCTCCGCCACCATGCCCTCAACCGCTGCCCAGGCTCTGGGGTGCTGGTGTGGCTCCCCAACTTGCAGGAGCGCCCCGTCGCTGCCCGTGTTCTGTGTGGGGGTGAGCGCCGGGCTCAGCACCCCGTGCCAAGGCTGGAGGGACTGGGCGCCCCAACCCACCACACCCGGCCTTACCTTCAGCCCTGCCAGCCAGGACAGAGAAAAGCAGAGATTAGTGGAGCCAAAATCCCCCTAAATTCCCCCCATGGCCCCCAGCCACCCGGTGCCACGGTCCTGCCAGCTCACCTTGCTCGCCCAGGTGCCACAGGTTGTGCTTGGCGGGCTCTGGGGGGAGGGGAGGTGACAGTGGCATCACCCCCATGTCCCCCAGCTCATCAGCACCCCGAGCCCCCTGATCCCGTCCGCTGTCCGCACCCGCCTGCCTGCGCCCCCCGTGTCCCTGCAGCCGCTCCAGCAGCGTCTCCATGTGCCCCTGGTGCTGGAAGGGCTCTGTGGGAACAGCGATGAGGCACCATCAGCACCCTCCCTACGGGCTTTGGTGTCACCCAGCCACAGCTGGGCCCTGGTGATGGGGTGACGGAGGGGTAGCATGGTGGGGACACATGTGACACTGGTGACACGCGCTCTCACCAGACTGCCGGCGTCCCTGGAGTGGCTCGGTGGCAGCGTCACCCAGGGGCTGGCAGGACCAGCTCTTCTTCAGGCGCTCAGGGCTGCAGCGGGGCAGGCGTGGGGGGTCTGTGGGGACAGGGAGTGACACCGGGGAAAATGGAGGGGACAGAGTAGGGCAGATAGGGAATGATAGGGCACTGGTGGCACTTACAGAACAGGTCCATCTCCAGGATGGCTTCCTTAGCCTGGGTGGAGGGAGGATGGAGAGAAATGGGGCAAAGGTGGGGTACAGCTGCCCCCCTTGCTGTGCTGGGGGGTCCCTGGTGTCACTGAGGTGCCCACCCCACCATCTCACCTTTTGGGGGATGGTGGCGTGGTGGTTCTCCAGGATGAGCCGCTTGATGTGGTGAGTCCACACACGCTTCTCCTCCACGCTCTTGGCCTGAGGGGCGCGGGGAGGGCAGTGGGGTCGGACAGGGGGTTCCGGGTTGTCCCCAGGGTGCCCCTCACCCCATGCCCCCCTACCTGCAGGCTGTGCTGCTGCTTGCCATGCTTGTAGTGTGCCAGGCTGAAGCAGAGCGAGTCCCGCGTGCTCTCAATCAGCATCAGCGAGGAGCACTGTCAGGAGAGGCGTCAGCATCCCTGGAACTTCCCACCCCAGCACCCACTGGGGTCCCTGGCACTCATTGGGCTCCCCCATTCCCAGCACTCACTGGGGTTCCTGGCACCCACCCTGTCCCTCCATCCCGGGCATCCACAGGAGTGCCTGGCACCCGCTGGGCTCCCCACCCCTGTCACCCTCACAGCCTCCTGTCCCTATCCCGCACCGGGATGTGGCTCTTGTAGACATAGTGGTCACCACGGCGCTTGGTGATCAGCAGGGCCTTGTCGAAGAGGAAGAGGGCACGGTCGTGGCGCACCCGCTGTGCCCGAAATGTGCCCTCCAGCACCAGCTCCCCGTAGCTCGTCAGGTCCGGCCCCTTCCAGCCCAGCAGCAGTGACTGGATCTCCTGCACAGACACAGGGGCGTCAGCACGCCTGCCACAGGGCCCACCTCATGTCATCTGGTGCCACCCACTGCCCCTGTGGTGTCTCCCTGGTGTGCCCCCGGTGCCCACCTGCTGGCGGATGGCGTGCTCGTGCTTGCGCTTCATGTCATTGATGTACCAGGCCACGCAGGTCATGGTGTCGATGGCCTCCAGCACCAGCTCGTAGTCGTCCCCTGCCTTGTGCTCAAAGTGCCTGGCGATCTCCTGGGCATGGCATGTGGCATCAGGACATGGGAATGTGCCGTGCCAGGTGCCTGGACCGCTCCAGGCACCCAAGCCGTGTCGCTGTGCCACCCCGTGCCCACACCGTGCCATGCTGGGCACCAGGCGCTCACCTGGAGCAGCAGGTGGTACTTGAGGATCCTCTGGACAGGCTTAAGCAGGTAGGCCCCGAGGGGCAGCGCGTGGCGCAGGCGCTCCTGGCATTCCCGCAGGAACCGTGCCTGGACCTTGCTCCTCATGCACTCGGTCAGCGCCGCCACCGAGCTGCGGGCAGGGAGGGGCTCAGACCCCTGCCCACCCGTGTGCCCCCTGCCCGCCTCCCTGCTCACCCGGCTGGGCACCCAACCCACCTGGGGTAGTTGTTGCAGTACTGGGTGTAGATGGCAAATTCCTGGCTCTGCAGGAAAGGGGAACACAGTGAGAGCCTGGTATGACCGCGTGTCCCCCGTGGTGTCCCCACAAGGCTCCCGGTGCCCCCCACTTTGCTCGCCCTTACCCGGGTGACGAAGCACACGGCCACAGCCACGGGGTCATTGGCGCAGCTCTCCAGGTTTTGCAGGAGGGTGCTGGGGGGCACAAAGAGGGCAGGGTGACCACAGTCCCCACACACCCACGGGACAGGGTCACAACCCTGTCACCTCCCAGTGGCACCTGCTCCCCCACCTGCTGAGCTCGTAGATGTCCTCGATGTTGCCGAAGAGCGCGCTGACCTGCTCCGGTCGCAGCACCGGCTCCTCCGCGTCGATGATCTTGCCCAGGTAACCCTGCCGGGCACCCACGGTGGCACCACTGCACCCCTAGACCCCACACTGAGTCTGAGGGGTGTGCCCCCGTGTGCCCCCCGGCACCCACCTCCACGATGCTGCGCAGGTCACGGGCGTAGGTGCGCTCAGACTCCACGATCTCCTGCACCACGCGGTCCAGGTAGCTGGGCTTGGCCCCGGGACCCCCGAAAGCTGCCAGGGGGTGCCCACCGCGGGCACCCGGCCACCCCCCCGGGGACGCGTTGTTGTTGGCGTTATGGAGCCCCTCGGCCCACGCCTCGGTCCCGGTGCCGGGCGGATCCTCCATGGCACAGCCGGGCTCCGCGCTCAGGGCAGGGCGCTGCGGGCACGCGGGCACCGGCATCCCGGCATCCCCCGGCAGCAGTGGGGCTCAGGGCGGCTCTGGGGGGAGAATGGTGGGTTAGGGGGTGCAGAGAGCCCCCAGATATGGGTGGCATGTGGCACCAAGGGAGTTCACCCCCATGAAGAGTCCTGATGGCCAAACTCTCTATGCCAAGGGGTGCTAGAATCCCAAAAATCCCTGGGTACAGCACAACGGAGGATCTCTGCACAGCCCACCAATGCTGAGATCTGGGAGTCCAGCCGCTCCTCATACCCGGGGACCGCGCTGGGACCGGGTGGGACGAGCGCCTCTGCCCCCACCCACCGGGGCCGTGCGTCAGCGCCGCGCCCGCGGGACACCTTCCAGGTGAGCTCAGCGCCGGCTCGCCCTTCCGGACCACCGGTGCCACCGGGCTCCTCCCGTGCCACCGAAACCGCTCAGTGCCACAAACACGGCTGGGACAGCCAGAAAACAGCGGCCAGCGGCAAAGCGTGTGGGAGTGTCGAGGCCGCTGAGCCCGGTCACCGCGGCGGGCGGCCCTGGGGACAGTGACCTTGAGCTGGGCCACGTGCTGCGCCGGCGGCGTGGCCGCCCGAGCCCCCCGGCACCCCCGGTGCCGGCACCGAACCGGTCAGGCCGGTTCCCGCCGCCGCTTCCCCACACCCGCCGTGCCGCGTGGCCGCCATCCAGCCACCGCCCTCCCCGGAGCTTCCCCGAGCACGCCAGGAGCCCCCCAAAACGCCACCGCGGTGGGGTTTGGGCCCATGTCCCCAGTGGTGCCACAGCCCGGAACCCCGGGTGCTGGCACATCCAGCCGTGCCAGGGGGCACCTCCCGGGCATGCCGGATCCAGGTGACTGTGGGAGCAGCTCCTCCAGCCCCCAAATTCCTCACCCCTGCAGGCATGGGGCACCCGGTCCCAGGGTCACCTCGACCCCGGGGGGCACCCAGCCGGTGACACCAGAGACAGCAGACCCCGGGCATCCCTCCGGGCAGTGTCCAACCCCTATCCCACCCTGCCGGGGGACAAGAGAAGACCCCCAGGTGGCACAGGGGGTCCCCACAGGGGCTCCCCCACCTAACACCCGGGCGGGGATTTGTGGCTCCCGCAGCTCGCCCCCGAAGGCCACCCCCGGCCATCCTAATCCTCTCACAACAGCGGGATTACGGCGCCGCTCTCACGTCACCGGGACCGCGGCCACTCTCCTGGGCCCGTGGGCCGCCGTCATCCCGCCCCGGCGATCGACCGGGGGGGGTTGATCCTCTTACCCCCCCGGTATCGCCTCGGTGGGCACGCGGCCGCCCGGGGCCCTCCCGCTCCCGCCTGCTCCGGCTGGGATTAGCTGTGACCTTCACGCCCCCGGCCGTCCCCAACCCTGCCACAGAGGACGGGCGATCCCCCTGGAGCGCCGAGCGGGGGGCTCTGCTGGGTCCCCAAAACTCCCCGGTGGGGGAAACTGAGGCAGGCGCCGGGTTGGGGGCGCCGGGCCGGCGGGAGGGAGGTGGGATTTTCTCCGCACCGTGGGATCGCCGGCCCCGTTGCACATTCCAGCGCGGGAGTTGGGGCGCGAGGCACAGCCCACGGCGTTTTCCCAGGATCCCGGCACGGCACGGCACGCCGGGAGAGGGGCCGCGGCGCGCCAGCCCGCCGGAGCCATATAAGGGCAGGCGGTTCACCATTTCCAGGCATTTTCCAGAATCCCAGCGGCCTCGGGAGCGGGGAGGTCGCCGCCGGCTCGGGCGCAGCTGCCGCGGCCGCCGCTCCCGGCCCCGGCTGGCACCGGCGCTGCCCGGCGGGCACGGCGCGGGCTGGGCGCCGGCGCTGCCGCCCGCGGGGACTCGGGGGGCTCGGCACCACGGGGGTCCCCGTGTCACGGCATTCCCGGGACAAGGCGGCACCGACCCGCCGGGCTGGCAAAGCCTCTTAGTGCCCGGCGCCCGTGGCGTCGCGCCGCCTAATCCCGAAGGAGGGGCGCAGGACACCCCCACCTCCCGCGGGGACCCCTGTCCAGGGTCACCCCACATGCCACAGCCTGTCCTGCACCCCCGGCTCGGCTTGAGGACAGCCCAAATCTCTCTGGGTGCCTGTCCCGGGGCTCTGCCAGCACCCCAAGGTCCTGCTGTCCGCTGCCCCGCGGGGACCCCGGTATCCCCAACTCCCACTCCGTGGGGGCCCCCACCTCCCGCCTCACTCCGGGCATCCCGGGACTCACGAATCCTGCCTAACCAGGGCCCGTGGATCCTGCTCCACCGGGATGCAACGGCTCGTGTCCCAACAGGACCCACAGATCCTGCCGCGCGGGAATGCACCGGCTCCCGCCCCACCGGAACCCAGGAATCCCACTCCGCTGGGATGCAACAACTCCCTTTCCACCGGGCCCCTCGGCTCCCGCTTCACCGGGATGCAACAGCTCCTGTAGCACCGGGACCCCCGGATCCTGCCCCAGCGGGAGACCCCCGCTGCCGGGGACCCTCGGGACGGCCCCCGCCGGGCGGGGACCCCCGGCTCCCCTCCCGCTGACCCCACGGCCGTGCCCCGTTCCCGCCGGGACCGGACTCACCGCGCTCCGCTACCGCCGCCGCCCCGACCCGTCCCGGCCCGCCCCGTCCCGGCCGTGCCCGCAGGAAGCGGCGGGAGCGCCCCGGGGCGGGGACAGCGGCCGCCCCGCCCGGCAACGGGAACGGGAACGGGGACTCCCGGGAATGGGAGCGGGGAGTCCCGGGAGTGGGAGCGGGACAGCGGCGCAGCGAACCCGGGCGTGACCGCGGCACGGTCCGGTACTGTCCCGGTCCCGGTCCGGTGCAGGCGTGGTTCCGGTACAGTCTTGGTACAGTCCTGACACGGTCCCGGCACAGTCCAGGTGTGGTCCCGGTACTGTCCTGGTACGGTCCCGGGACAGTCCCGGTCCTGTCCCGGGGTGCACCGAGCATGGCGGACGGGAGCCCGCAGCCATCGGGTCACCCGTGGGGTCCCTTCCCGGGGGACACGAGCACCCGAAGGGGTCCCAGCACGGACACCCCCATTCCTGCCCGAGGGACACAGACAGGGACGCAGACACCCCTTGTCCCCAGGCACGGGGCGGATGCAGGTGTCAGGGCGGGATGGGTGCCGCGGGTGCGGCCTGGTCCCAGCGCCCCTCCATCCCGCCTCAGCCCATCCATGACTGTGCACGGCCCTGGCACTGCCGTGACGCTTGAGTCCCCAAATCCAGCTGTGTGCCAGCTCCACGGGGGGCTTCACCCCCCCAGTAAAGCCGGGGGCCAGCTGGAGCCCCCGGCCCCTCACGGCACCTGCCACCAGAATGGGCCCATTCTACAGCCGGGCGCGCCGGCACTGGGTGCGCTCAAAGGCCGGATTGTTCCCAGCGCAGCGGGAGCCCGGCCAGGCCCGGCGCTGGCGCTGGCACTGGCTGCTGTTGTGGGGGGACGTGTGGCACCCGTGGGACGGTGGCGTCCCCGCTGCCCTCACCGGTGTGGGAGCGTGTGCTCTGCCAGTGGCGGGGTGCGGTGTGCTGGGCACGGCCGGGAAAGCGGCTGTGGTGTGGGCACAGGTGGGTGTTGGGAGCCGCCAGGGTGGGTCCTGCTGAGGACACATGCCCCCCACTAAGCCAGACCTCCTGCCCCAAATTTCATAGATCCTCCTCAAACCCCTTCCCCAAATCCCCCTTTACCTTCTCCCCATATCCCCTCTCCCCGTAGCCCCTCCCCACACCTTCTCACCATAGTACCCTCCCCATAGTCCCCTTCCCAGGTCTCCATGCCAGATCCCTCTCCCCCGACCCTCTCCCGCCCCCAGCCCTCCCCTCTCCTCCCTCCCTCTCCCTCTTGCCCCCTGTCCTCCCGCCCGCTAGGGGGCGCCCCGCCCCCTATTGCCCCCGTCCTCCCGCCCGCCAGGGGGTGCCCGCGCCTTCCCCTTCCCGTCGCGCCCCGCGCGGCCGAGGCGGGAAGGCAGCGGCCCAAGATGGCGGCGGCTCTGGCGGCGCGGAGCTGCCTGGAGCTGAGCGCGGCCGGCCGGGCCCCGCCGCGATCCCCTCAGGAGCTGATCTTCGTGCCCCCCGGCGTCGCCCCGCTCCCCGCCGGCCGCTACAGCGACAGCGCCGGCGGCTTCTGCTACCAGGAGAGCGCGCAGCTCGGGGCCGCCACCAGGAACCGCTGGGTGCGATGGTGAGTGCACGCCCCCGCCCGCCTGGCCTCGCTTGGACCCTCCTCACCCACACCTCGCCCTTCTGAAACCCTCCCGTCCCTCGGATCCGCCTCATCTCTCCCCTCTCCGACCCTCCTCATGCTCAGGCGTGCCCCTCTGTTCCCGCAGGAGCACGTCGGGGGACACGGCGGAGCTGGTGGAGGAGTCCCTGGACGTGAACCTGCTGAACAACGCCGTGCGGCTGCGGATCCAGGGCTGCCCGCTGCTGCCCGGCGGCATCCACCTGTGCGAGGTGCAGAGTCACCTGGTGGTGCTGCTGCTCACGGCGCAGACCGTGCACCGCCTGCTGCTCCCGCACCCCGCCCGCCTCTACCGCAGCGTGAGTGCCGGCAGTGCCGCCGCGGGAGGGGCTGGGAGACCCAAAATACATCGGAGGTTTGGGGGATTTTGCCGTGTTTTGCTCAGGAATTGGCTGGGTGTCCAGCCTGTGCCGTGACACTGGAGTTGAGCTGCTGTTGAGAATGAGCCTCGGCTTTTCCAGAGTTTCCAGAGCCCTTTCTGGCTGCATTGTCTTTTTTCCCCTCAGCTGAGAAGGCTGCAGGCTGTTTTTGTCTGGGAATCTGTATTTCGTGTGGCAGATGGATCCTAGGCAGGGTTTATATCACATTTAGCATCTTTCCATGGGTGTGGGTTGGGACTGGATGGTTTTTAAGGTCTCTTCTGACTGAAACCATTGTAGGATTCCTTGATTCTCCCTCCTTCTTACCAGGATCCTCTCTTCTCTTGGAGAGCTTCCCTCCTGCTTTTAGAGCTCCAGAGAGCTTTCCCAAGGGATGATCCTGTGCTGTGGCAGAGCTGCTCTTCCTGGGATGTGTCACCAGCAGTTTTCTCTGAGCTGTGCCAGAGATTTTTTACTGGAAAAATGCTTTTTATCAAGGAGACAGTTGCCATTCCATCGATGTCTGTTTTGTTTTTTTTTTTTTTTTTTCCTGTGCCTTAGGTATGTGTGCTCAGGATTTGATGTTTTATGGAATCCTGTAGGATCATGGAGTCCAGCACTGCCAAGGCCACCCATGTCCCCAAGCACCACATCCACATGGGATGGGAATTCCACCACTGGAGCCTGTTCCAGTGCCTGATAACCCCTTCCATGAAGGAATTCTCCCTGGTATCCACCCTAAACCTCCTGTGGCACAACCTGAGGCTGTTTTCTCCTGTTTCCCCACAGGAGCTGATCACAGAGAGCCAAGTGCAGTCCGTGTTTACAGATATCAGCAAAATCCACATCAGGGATCCCTCCAATTACTACGTGATTCCCAGCGTGCCAGGGCTGGCTCCCAACTCCGTGGCCTCTGCAGCCTGGCTGAGCAGTGAGGGGGAGGCTCTCTTCGCCCTTCCCTCTGCCTCAGGAGGGATCTTTGTCCTTAAGCTGCCTCCTCCCGATGCTCCTGGTAAGGATTGGGCACCACAGCCCCTTTCCTGTCTTGGAATTTTACTTAATCTTCATTTTTAATTTTCTTTTTTGTCTTTGCAGGAAGTGTTTCTGTCGTGGAGTTGAAGCAGAGCTCGGTGGTGCAGCGTTTCCTCACGGGCTGGATGCCAACTGCCATCAGGTGAGTGCCTGGAGATGGACAAACTGAGCTGATTTGGGCTTTTGGATCCCCTCACCTGGAATTTTTAGCTTGAGTCACACAGGCACCTATAAATACTCCACCCAAAAAAGGGTCACAGGAGCTCTCAGAGTACGGAAGCTGGGAGTGGAATGCTGGATTAGCAGGGTGCTGCTGTTCCATGTGTCTGTGGATATGTTCTCCAGTAATTGGCCTCCCAGGATTTGCCCAGGATGTGGCTCAGAGCCAGCAGGGATTAGGGATTACTCTGCCCTGGTGCTGAGGAGCCAGGCGTGTTCCTGACCAGCAGAGGTTACGTGGGGATCACACGGATGCTCGTTGGGATTGTTAGGGTGGCTTAGAGGGCACAGCTGAATCCCAGGGCCTTTTTCTTGGGAGTGAGTCCATTGAAGCCCTGAGTGACTGAGCATTGGGAAGTGTAGCCTGGGATTTGGCAGGATGGATCCTTCCAGATTGCTCTCCTCAGTTTGCTGCTGTTTACACTTTTTGGGCCTGAAGCTGCAGTGGTGTCCTTGGTCCTCAGGCTGGAAAGGGATTGTTTTGTCTGACTAAACTGGGAAGAGAACTTGCTAATGCTTCATATAAAGTTCAGAGTTATATACTGATGCAGTATGGAATCTGGAAAATATGAAAGCTAAAACTTAAGGCATCATTTGGAGCTGTCAGGATCCTTGCTCCTGGCTTCTTGCATCCTTGTCATGGGCTGGCAGGATCTGTGCTGGGGGCTGCTTGGATCCTTTTTCCCCTCTGGATCTTTCACCTGTGTTTTGCTAGTACCAGGCTAGGATGGGGAATTGGGAATGTGCTTCAGTTCCACCAAAGCAAGCGAAGAACTGGGTGTCACTGGTGTGGTGGGATCCTCTGCTCTGAGGGTGCTGAAACATTCCCTTCTCCTGATCTCACCTACTGGTTTATTTGGATTTAAGCACAGTGGAGGAACCCCACTGCCTTGGATCTGTGCACCTGCCATGATTTTAGAATCGTGAAATTCTGGAATGGTTTGAGTTGGAATGGGCCTTAAAGCTCATCCAGCCCCACCCCCTACCTAGGCCAGGGACACTTCCACTAGACCAGTGTCCAGGCTGGTTTTGGACGCTCCAGGGATGGAGAATTTTCTCTGAAGGTGCTGATGTAAGCCCGTGTTTTCCAGGGGTGATGGCGGCCCCTCGGATGTGCCCGTGAGCCTCTCCGTGCACTGCCTGGATCACGATGCCTTCCTGTTCGCCCTCTGCCAGGACCACAAGCTCCGGATGTGGTCCTACAAGGTGAGCACAGCCTGGGGTGGGGGAGCAAAATGAAGCCCAAGGAATCACAGGTGAGTGCTTGGCATGGATCTGTCTCCCTTTAAATTGTGACTGTGGCTTCTCCACACTGGGGTTTGGGACAACATGTGAGAGCAGTCGTGGTGTGTGTTTGGAGCAGTGTCTGTGAAGCCAGGGCTTTCCTGCCCAGCCTCGTTCCTGTGGGCACACCGTGTGTGGGGATGGGGAGTGGGGCTGGGGCTGAGCTCACCCCCAGTGGGTGCAGCTGTGCAGAGCAGCTGAGCAGTGCTGAAGGGAACGAGCCATGGGGAGCTGAGGTGTTACTGACCAGCCCCAAAGGGAGCAGAGGGCACACAGCTGCAGGGCATGGGCATGAGGGGTATGAAAGGCTGGGCTGAAGGACAAGCAGGGCAGAGCCTGCAGCCTTCTGAGGTGAGATGGTGTTGCTCTGTATGGGCAGAGCCCTGGAGCCTTCTGATATTGTGTGGTGTTACTCTGGGTGGGTTGAAGCCTTCTGATATTGTGTGGTGATCCTCTGTGTAGTGGCCCTCTCAGCTGCAGCCTGTGCTGTGGTGTATGCTGTGACATATGGTGACCCTGATGTGAT